ATAGACACAAACATCATATTTTCCTTAGATTGATCCATTTGGTTTTAACCTTTTGTTTCAGGCTCACAATTGACTGGGGAAGGGGATAGACAAAGCCTGAACAGATTGATAAATCAAGTTGCTTCTGAGCTTCACTCTCCAGTTATGGACCCACATTATAACCAGTATCTGCAGACGGCATCGGCTACAGCTGCACCAAGTGATCATTCTCTTCTTAGAAACAGTTTCGGGCCTTCAAACGGAGATACGGCTAATGAATACCTCGCGATGTTACTTGCTCAAAACAGGCAACAGCTGGGTAACATCAATGCTGCAAACACTAGATTATTTGAGAGTCCTTCATATGATCTTGGCAGCATGTATCTAGGAAACCATATGCCTTCTCCTTCCAAGAATTCAAGAAATTTTCAGAACATGCGAATGTCACAATCTGCCTCAATGACGAAAGTTCCTTTTGGAGGATCACAAGGGTCATCCCATGTAGACATTGGCAGCACAACAGAAGTATCCTTACTAGAGGGATTTAAGAACAACAAGACAAGGTCTTTGGAGCTTTCAGACATAGTTGGTCATGTGATTGAGTTCAGGTTTCTTTCCTTGCCTTATCTAATATCCATCCTTAGTTCAAGGTTACTAGTTCACTTTTGTTATCTAATATATTTCACATCACTTGCAGCATGGATCAATACGGAAGTCGTTTCATTCAGCAAAAACTTGAGACCGCAACAGATGAGGAAAAGAATGCAATATTCCCTGAGATATTTCCTTATGCTCGCACCTTAATGACAGATGTGTTTGGAAATTATGTCATTCAAAAGGTACGAGCTGTAGCATCCAAATCATATCGATGCACAGGCTAGATGAGTCAGTTTACTCATATGTGGTTCTGGTTTTGTTTTAGTTTTTTGAGCATGGTACAAACAAACAGAGAAAAGAGCTCGCCGAACAAGTTACGGGCCACGTTTTGCCTCTCTCTCTACAAATGTATGGCTGCAGGGTTATCCAAAAGGTAGTCAATATGAAGACATTCTTTTGACCTTATTTCATAGAGATAGGCTTTTACTATTCTGAGCGTTTGCCTAACTTGTTTCTGGGAAATTTAATACAGGCGTTAGAGGTGGTTGATTTGGAGCAGCAAGCTCGAATGGTGCAAGAGCTTGATGGGTCTGTCATGAAATGTGTTCATGATCAGAACGGTAATCATGTGATCCAGAAGTGTATAGAGCGTCTTCCTCAGGATTGGATACAGTTCATTATTTCCTCATTTTATGGGAAAGTCTTAACTCTTTCAACACACCCTTATGGATGCCGTGTAATCCAGGTTCGATATATACATCACACCTTATAGTTTCTTGGTGATAGAATTAAACTTCCAGCATTTTCTTGTCCGCTGTTAATGGTACTTGTAATGTACATCTTTGGAATCATGTCAGAGGGTACTTGAGCATATTGATGACACAGAAACCCAAAGGATCATTATGGAGGAAATCATGCATTCAGTCTGCACTCTAGCTCAAGATCAGTACGGAAATTATGTTATACAAGTAAGTTTCTGAATCTTGTTTTTACGTTTTTGCTTCATGAAAATGGACACCTTGATGATGGTTAATCTTGCTCCCGGCTGTAGCATATCATACAACACGGTAAACCCCATGAACGGTCAGAAATTATCAACAAGCTTGCTGGACAGATTGTGAAGATGAGTCAACAAAAGTTTGCTTCTAATGTTGTGGAAAAGTGCTTAACATTTGGCGGTCCAGCGGAACGTCTGGTTCTAGTGAATGAGATGCTTGGTTCCACTGATGAAAACGAGCCTCTTCAGGTCTGCAATCTAAACAGTGTATTGCACCCTCAATGTCTCTTTCTGCAATGTCCCAGAAAAGTAAAAACCTTATAATAAAACAATCTACAGGCGATGATGAAAGATCCATTCGGGAACTACGTAGTGCAAAAGGTTCTTGAAACATGCGATGATCAAAGTCTTGCACTCATTCTCTCTCACATCAAAGTCCACTTGAATGCCTTGAAGAGATACACATATGGGAAACACATCGTTGCCCGCGTTGAGAAACTTATCACTACTGGAGGTAAAAATTTCCCCTCTCTGTACAAAATCACTCTATTCACGATCATGATCATGATCATGAATCACTCTTTCTTTATTACTGCAGAGAGAAGAATCGGGCTCTCGTCATCTATAATTGCAAATGCTACTCCTTGACTATCTGAGTAAGTAAAACCTCAAGTTTCTTAACTTATAACACAACCAGAGAAAGAGGGACAGTTTGATGAACAGAGAGCTATATATGTACAGCCTAACTAAGCAAAGCACCTCAAGATGGTTCATGTTCTATATATATTTTGCAAATAATTTGTAAATAAAATAGAGGGTTTTAGATTTAAGCCAGCAAATAAATGTATTTTGGATTCCAACTGGCTTAAGTTAAAATCTCCTTTTGGTTGTGTAAAAGGTGATGCCTTGCTGTTTTATTGTGTAAAGCAATGGCTTATTTTAGGTCTTTATTCTACACATAAACTCTATGTATATATCTTGCGGCTTTGAGCCCCAAGAATTGCAATATTTCTTGCTTTAAGCACTAAAGGGAACATTTTTGCACACATTAAAAGGAATAAATACTGAATTCGTTCACAGTTTGAAAATACATAGAATATAGTCTTTTTCCCTCTTCTATGAGACTATAAAAGAAAGAAACTGCTGAGTATGTGATAAAGTCGTCAATTTCAGCAGAGGGTTTGTTCATCCAAGGACAATTTCAACATCTGTACTAAAACTATGTATTGTATTAACGAACACTATTTCATTCAAGTGAACTTGCTTCTTCATTAGAAGAGGGAGGATCTTATTTCCAAATGATATCGCCCAAGAAGCGCAGAGCAGGGACACCTCTGATCTCCATATCGACCAGCGGAGCCTTCATCAATGTCAAACTAGAGAGTTCTGAATCCTCCCGGATCATATCAAGAGCGCGCATTTGATCCTGCATGTTCATTTCTCACGTTCAGATGCATTTCAACACAGCGAAACATTAATGGGAAAATTGCTCTTTTGATTCTTCGTGGTGATCAGTGATCAACCAAATCGGCAATGATTATTTAGGATCGCAGAACAAACACAAGAACAGAAGCTCTCTGTGGTTGAGGAGTAGACAAGAACCGATCTTTGGTTTTCAAAGAGCCAACTAGTTAATGAGAAGCTTGTGTGTGTGTATATATATATATACCTTTCTCTTGATGGCACAAAATTTGCAGTCCGAGGAGGATGGTGGGAGAAGCTGATTAACAATGAGTCTTTTGACAGGGACACTTTCCTTCTTTAAGGAAGCACTTAACCTAGACGACTCGCTCACAGCCATTACCTTTAGGAGATAAACAAACAGTACGAGCGGTGAGATACTAACTTTAGACTAAACATTAGATGGAAGTTCTTAGACAATGCATTTTTGCAGATAGGAGGACCTCTAAGGAGATGTTTGTGTATATATTACCGTTGGGATAGTGACAATGACGAATTCTGTTGACTCTGTGTCACGGAAAAGCTCACGAACTTTAACCATCCTTTCTCTTAGTCTTTCCAACTTGTCGGCCTTTCACATCCACAAAGAAATACTTTAAAGGAATGAAAAACAGAGAATACAATATCAGCCACAAACATACACAAAGACTCACCGCATCAGGCTTGTTCTCTTCTTTTCCAAAGACTGATTTGATCGCTGAAGTAGCCGAGGATATTTTCTGCCTAAGCTGAGAAAGAGATCGATACTTTGATAAACCAATTAACACAAGTACTTAGAAGAAATGGTTTATCAACATTTCCCACCTTCAAGATTTTACCAATGGATGCGTCCAGGAAGTCAGGTAAGGAGAGTAGCCTTAGCGTATGACCCTGTAAGTAGCAACAAACTTTGTCTTTAACAATTATTTTGCAGTAAAAAAGGGAGTGAGAAATTTCCGGTAAAGCTTGCTCACCGTTGGTGCAGTATCAAACACAATTCTGGTGAACATGTTATACTCGGGTGATTCCAAGAATTGAATGACCTGTAAACACCCTTGACAATCAGCAAGAGACAAGGAAAATATGCAAAACACAATAAAATCAAAACGAAAGAAAGAAGGATCAGATAGTACAACAGAATCACCTTAGAAATGGCTATGGCTTCATCCAATCCAGGAGGCGGTGTATCTAGTAACTCTCCAAGTTTAAGTTCCCCCAACTTCATCAACCAAAACCAACAGTCAGTATCATCATCAGCGGAACAGTAAGAGCAATTTCAGGACACCTAGATTAGTATCAGAAACCTATGAAATGCCTTTTCGATCGATTTGCCATTAACACCATTTAAACACACATTTCAGCAACAAATGCCACCAGAAAGTACAACATACCTGTTCTACAAGCATCCCAAGTCCCATACCATCCATAAAATCTTTCACCCCAGTTCCTCCATTCATCTGCGAAGCACTTCGAAACTCTTCCCTAGCCTTCTCAGGGTTTATCTGTTGCAGAGCTATAAATTATAACTCAATCTGAGTGTAGGATCATCACCACAGAAACCAATTACTCCCCAAAACATAACTCCAAAACAAACAAAAAACATCGGTTTCGACATACTTCTAGAGCAAACAAAGGAGATTCAGGTCCTTCTACAGGCACAAGCATTCCTCCAGTCAAGTCCTAGAAATCAATAGAGACAAGAATCATATATCTTCTTCATCAAACAAATTAGACAAATTCAGTTTTTTTTTTATTACAGGAATTTCCTCGTTTACCTGAGCAAAAGAATCGCTCAAAGAATGTGCTGGATCTGTGGATACAACAAGAGTTGGGTGACCATTGTTGGCGAATCTGACAGCTAAAGAAGCAGCGCAGCTAGTTTTACCCACTCCTCCTTTACCTCCGAGCATGTAATACTTTCGTTTCGTGCCGGAAACCATCTCATCGAATTCCGACACTGTCTCAGCTGTGCTAGCTACTGATTTCACTGGAACCCAGAAATGGAAATCAAAATCCAAAACACAAGAGAAGATATTTAATCCCTCGATTACTTAATTCCATGTTTAAATCAGGAAAAGGGGAAACTTCAGAAATTTGAACCTTGAAACGAGTTTCTGTGTCGATTCTGCTTGACGGAGAGAGAAAGAATCGCCGGCGAGACAACGGAGACGGTAGATGAAGAGAGAGTTGTTCGAGGCGAGAAAGAGATGTAATCGATTCTCGAGACTAGACTTGTTGAAGAGAATCGGGATTTGCATAGAGGAGAAGAAGAAGATAACAGAGAGGAAGAAAGAGTCGCCATTTTTTCGTCTGCTTTCACTTCCTCTTCTTCTTGTGGAATACTCTTAACCCAGTAGCGGTGCCGAGAAACTATCTATGACCCAGTTACAT